CTTTTAGAGTTCTATTTCTACTAGATATAGAATAATAGTATATAGTCTCTCTCTATTAATTTCTCCTCTTTAGTAACTCTAATAGTTACTTTTTATAGTTAAGAGTTCGCTTTTACCTTTTATTCTTCTCTCCTTTTCTTTAGATATAGTATTTATTATTATTATAAGTAGAGTTTTTATAGTAGCTACACTATTTCCTAGTATTTAGTTTATTCCCTATCCTATTTGGTCTTTTTTATTTAAAGTTAGAGTTAAATATATTATCTTTAATCTTTTTCCTATCTTAATCTATTATTATTAGTTTCTTCCCTTTATTAGGAGTTAAGTTTTAATAGTAGCTTATTTTTCTCTTTCTATCTAATAGATTTTATTTAGTTATTACTAATTAATTAATAAACTTCTTATATAAGAGGTTTTCCTTATTAATAGTATATTTATTAAATTTAACTATTACTTTAGGGATTATTTTACTTATTAGGTTTATTTTTTATTAGTACTTATTGAATTTCTATTTAAGATAGCCTTCTAGTATTAGTAGGAAGGTAGAGAATTTATAAATTAATTAGGTATCCCTTTATTAAGCTTTAATATATTTAAAGTAATAGTTATAGAAAGCTCTACTTAGGTTCAATACTTAGTATTATAACTAATTTATAAATTTCTTCTAAGTTAGTACTTACTCTCTATATATAGGAGAGTATTAGTACTAGTAGGTTAGTAGGTAGCTATTAAAATAAGTAATAGCCTTTAGAATCTTATTAGTATTATTTCCTATAAAGTATACTCTTTAGTATATATAGAATATCTTAATATATATAATAAAGTCTTCTATCTCCTTCTAGTTTAGAGCTACAAACTTTTTAAGAACTTTTCTTATTAGTATATTTACTAGTACTCTCCTATTATATATAGAAAGATTAGCTTCCTAATCCGCTAGTCTCGCAATCTTTAGGTATTTTTCTTAACTCTCCTAAGGGTATTAGTTAATTTCTTCTATTTAGCCTTATTTAGAGTAATTATTCTACTTTTACTCTAAAACTATTCTAGTAATTTTAATTTAGACTAGAGGTTCTATAGAGTAAATTCTACTAAGGGTAGAATTTATTATTTTATTTTTATTATTAGTACTTCTTTTAAGTTCTTTCTTAAGTACTTAGGCTTATTTTTCTAACTCTCGGAGTTCTTTCTTTTCTCTTATAAGTCTAATTTATTATTTTACCTCTTTAGCTACTTACTAGATCTATTTTAATTCTATTATAAGATCCTCTTTTAAGAAGTCCTATTCCTTATAGGTCTCCTATAGGTTATCCCTATCTTAATTAGGAATATATATCTAGGAGTCTGGGTTTACTTATATAATTCCTTATTCTATTTTACTAGATATTATTTATATAATAGGTACTATTTACCTTAATAGAATATCCTCTTTTAAGAGTAATTAGAACTATAAGGCAGTAAGGCTTATAGACGCTATAGTAGTACTTAATAGCTAAAGTACGTATTATATAAGAAGTTGCTATAAGAATTTTAATATCTAAGGAACTAATTACTACCTTCTTTTAGAGATATAGTAAGGTATACTTATATATATATATATACTTATATAAGTACTAGAGCTTGGGTAAGTCACGTGATATTTTCTCCGAGAGTTATATAATTCCCTATAGGTATTTATCGCGGTTATTGGGTTGTAGCATAATACTTATATATTTAGTAAGTCTATAGATTAAAATATATACGCCTGTATAACGCAATCTCTATTATAAATTGAGATAGTTCGATATAATATTCGCCAAGCCTAGCTTACTCAGTAACCTCCGCTACGATTCAATAAGAGTTCCTTACACTTAGTTATATTTTTGGTGAGAGCTTAGTTATCGGTGCCAAGGCACTAGATATGCACTGTTCCAGTAACCAATTAGAGGCGAGAATTCTAACCAATCAGCTAATTTACAGTTATTTTTCGAGGACCCAAAGATATGAATATTTTTACCCATTCTGAACCCACTTTTTGGAATACAATAGTCTTCGCTTCGCTCCGACAATAATATAGAATGAGAGACTTGATTGAATCAAAGAAAGGCTCCGTTGCTGCAATCATTTAATACACATGATTCCTAAAGACGACTAGTGATGTTGCCTACAAGTAGAACCATATCAACTAAAACTTCCACTGCTCCATCCACAGATTCATCCACTCCGCAGAGACCGGTTTAAGTTCGGCCATCCTAGGGCTCTTTTTCACCGTCTCCACCGTCTCGAGAAGTGGCCATGCATCTCCCTTCTCTGCCGAACTAGCGACTGATTCGAAGAAATCAAGCAATTTCAGTGCTGGGTTCTGCTTCAGGCTTTGAGTGGCCGTCGCTGCTGCGCCGAGTCTGGACTTTCTCAACGCATCTACCCACTCAGTACACGGGACGATCTTGACGGATCCGCCTAGCTGTTTTGCGATATCCTGGACAAGGCTATCCCAGCCGACGGCATTTGGGTTAACTGCATGATAAACAGGCAGTGGTGTTTGTGGTGTGGCTGAAGCGCCGTTGGTAATAGGGCCAGGGGTTACGCTGGCCAATTCGAGGATGATGTCGGCTAGTAGGTCTACTGGGGTCCAATCTACCCTGCTCAGAGCTCCTAGCGTTGATGGCAGGACCCCGAGGTATTTGGAACTAGCAATCAACTGTACGCAATGAAATGATTGTTAGCAACAACATCACATTGTTCAAATATGTTTAGGGAGATGGGGGGTTGTTCATACAGATGGTAGCCACTCTTGCTTCCCCCATTCACCCTTCTCAGGTCCTCTGAGCACTGGGCCGGCAATCTGTCCAACTCGGCAGATGGATGCATTCACGCCAGCAGCTGCCACGGCATCCTCAAGGATAAGCTCTGATACGTGCTTTGCAGAACCGTAGCCATCAAGGGCGGTGGTCAGGACATGGTTAGGCTTCTCAGGAACAGCACCCTCTGGCCTCAAGTGATTAACCGTGGCGATAGTTGATACAAAGAACAGGGAAGGGTCATGGTTGCTTCTGCGTGAGAAATCGACCAAGTGCCTCACACCGCGGATATGAGGTTCAAAACTGGAGATGTCCCAGTTATAGTCTACCGGCCACTGATTATCTGCCCGTGGAAAGTTTCGTCAGCTATATACCAAACAACATACAACAGGAGAAGGGTACTCACGAATTATATGTGTTGTGTCCTGAAGAAGGCCGTTATATGCCTCGACCGTGAGTCCGAATCTTGGTTTTGACAAGTCGCACTGTAGGAATTCAACCCTCTCCGGCGACCAATCTATACTCAAACCCCTAGGCTCACTTGTTGCCATCTGTTTGGCCCTACCATCCTCTGCACGATTGAGACAGTAGATTTTGTTGACGCTCTTCGTCTGGCGAACGAGCGATTCAAGCAGATAAGACCCTAAAGAACCGGTGCTTCCAGTCAAAATGACAGTGGCGCCAGAACACATCAAGCCAGCTGCGTATTTAGCACGGAAGCTGCTCATGCTCTTCTTCTGCAAATCCACAGGCGTACTGCTACCGTTAGCTACGTTGTGGACTAAGTTATAGAGGTTTGCCGTGAGTGCATTGATGGTCGGATAAGTATACACGAATTTCGCAGTGACGATGAGCTTCTTCTTTTCGCTAACGCCGTTTTTCCCAACGGCGGAACGGAGAGAATTGGAGATACTGAAGGCAACTAAGGAATCGACGCCAGCACCGAGGAGGTCGTCGTCTAGACCTATATCCTTTGCACTCGGCAATGAAGCTACTACCAGGCGTTTGATACCTTCGGAAGTCGTCTCGTGGGAGGTAAAGTCGATATTAGCTGCCAAGTAGCCGTCTTCTTCCATGCTCTTGTAGAACTGTTTGATTTCTTGCTCATAGAAGAGGACGGTATCGCGACGTTTGACGGGTGTTTTTGTCTGTTCGGACAAAAGGCTTGTCTGGCTTGGTAAACCAGATGTATTTCTTGGAAATACGCGTGCATGCTTTGGCGCAATCGCATTCGCAGCATGGACTGTCTCTAGGATACTGGCCAGGAGCGCTTCACGTTCAGGTTCAGAGGCTGGCTCGGGATCTACCAGCTCGACAAGAAGGGACATCATGGTGTATCCCGTTCCAATCTATACACTTCTGTCAGCGAGACCATGCTATCAAATCAGTCATATATGGTATATAAACTTACCATAAGACACGCACTGACTGCCGGATGACTATTGATGATAGCTTCCATGGTAACCGGGCGAACTTTCTCTCCATTCGACATTACAAGCATATCATCCGTTCTCCCTCTATAGATCCACAGATATGGCTTGGTAGGGTGCGGCGCATACAGGTCCTTGAAAGTCAACTCCTTTATATCGGGAAAGGTATGGAAAATGCCCTGATATAGGTCAACACGGTCCTCATTACGAACTCCCCAGTGTTCGTAAACATCATCGTCGACCTGTCTGAAGTCGAATCCAGCATAGGGGTGGAAAGAAAAGTATATCCAGTCCTCTGGCTCCACGAGAAGACTTCCTTGGAAAAGGCCCTCTGATGTTCCGGTGATATTCAATATCCTAATAACCTCGGTCGCCTTGTTGGCACTGGCGTAGGTGACGGGACCTGTTTTTACGGTTGTTAGAAATCAAAAGCGACTTTCAGGGGTTCAAGGCTCTCACCTCCTGAAGCAATTATGACTTTGGACTTTGCAAATTTGGCACGGATGGCAGGCGTCTCTCCAATCTCGTCTACTATGGACGGTATGACGCTCCAGCATTTGATATCTGTGTTGTCGAGGAGGGAGTCGAGAAGGTTGATGGTTGATAGCACACCGACCGGCCCAAGAACATTGCTGGTACGATACAAGGACACGATGAAGATATTCATGATTAATCCCGCACCCTACCACCAGTCAGATTGGTATTCTTCACTCTCCCACGAGCACCATGGAAGCGAACTTACATGATAAAGGGGAAAGGCAGAGTAGAACCGATCACCCTCGTCAAAGATGTCAGTCCAGGGAGGCAGGCCTTGGTCAGTCTTTGGCAGCAAACGGGTAGCATCCAACGTGCCGATGAGCGAGTTCTTCCAGATAATTGGCTTTGGAAGGCCGGTTGAGCCCGAGGTATGCAGTATGCAAAAGGGGTCGCTGGCCGCCTCCTCGAAGGTCTTGGTGTATGGATAGGCCTTGACCGGCTCCGGGTTCAGCAGTTCGTCTGTCTCTGGTATCTCAATTACTTTCATGGGTCGCCGGTCGAGGATCTGAGGCAACATCTCATGTCTCTCCTTTGGGGTTACCCATATATCGCAGCTGGTTGCGTTCAGCACGGCCACGGAAGCCTCGATGCTGTTGCGCGGTGACGGCAGAAGCGCCTGCAGAAGTTACCATTCTGTTCGTCTTCTTCTTCTTCTTCTACTGCTGCTGCTGCTGCTGCTGCTGCTGTTTCTTCATGAAGCTTACCTTGTAGCCAGCCTTGATACATCCAAGGATGAGCAGTATATATCGAAAGTCATTCCCTTTTTTTTTTTCGCCGCCGTCAGTGTCAAACTGTATACAACAGGCTCCCGGCTTTCAGGGGCAAACCTACAAGGACCAAAGTATCCCACCGTTGGAAAAGACGAGCCCTTCCCCAGCTCTGCCTCAAGCCACCAGGCCGTCCTGTTCACGGCATTTGCAAATTGGAGGGCGGTGATATCTCGAAATCCCTCCGAGACGTCTCGCGAGACCGGAAGCGAGTAGAGAATCCGGCCAGGTTCTTCGGCGGCCACCTCGTCAAAGACTGAAATGACAAGGCGTTTGCCATAGTCCTTGGAGACGGCCATGGCTGGAACGAGAGTGTTTTGGTATAACTAAGGAGGCGGTTTGTTGATGAATTGATGAAGAGCCCAGCTATCGTACACAGCTTTATAACCAGCGTCTACGCCGGCCATCAAACAATAGTTCCTGCGGCCGTCAACCATCTTCCTTCTTCGTATCTCGGTAGATAATCGCAGGAATGCTGTGTGGCACAAATTCGGCCGATTTGACGGTATATTTTATATGGCCGGCCACGGAGTATATACGGAGTAATACGGATGAAATACGGATAATTGACCATCTCTACAGTAGTTAACTAGTACATCTTGTAGACTAATAAGTATAACATCTTGCATATATCGTATAATATACTCCGTAGTATGATGAATACACCGATCCTACTGGGCTTGCAGACGGCCAACGACGCCGGCCAACCGCGCGATGCCTTCCGCCAGCGCTTCCTCGTCCGCCCACGAATAGGCCAGCCTGAGATAGGCAGAGTACGAAGGCCCGCCAGCATCGCCAGCAACAGCAAAGGCAGCGCCAGGCAAGATCGCCAGCGCCTCCTCCGCGCATCCCGCCGCAACGACCGCCCCGTCCAAGCCAGCGGGCAGCCTCAGCCACACAAAATAGCCACCTTCTCTGCCCTCCGCATCCTCGACCAGCGTCACCCCCAACGGCGCCAGCAACTCGGCCACCGCGTCCACCATCAGCCTGCGTCGACGGGCGTAGGCCGGCAGCAGGTCGGCCATGTGTGTCGTCAGCGCCCCCGAGGCGAGAAACTGGGCTACGAGGGCGGCGCCGAGCTGGCTGGGACACCCGCCTGCGATGCTTGCGCCGGCCTGGGAAAGCCTGCGAGTGAGCGCGGGAGAGGCAGAGAGCCAGCCGGTGCGTACGCCAGGGCCGACGAGCTTGCTGAAGGAGCCGTTGCTGACGGTGTGGCGGTGGGCGGCGGCGTCGGAGGGCAGCAAGGGGAGGGCGCGGTCGATGTCTACCAGGCGCGGGAGGCAGCCGACTTGCTCGCTCGAGTCGATGAAGTCATAGATGTCGTCGCTGACTACGAGGGCGTCGAAGCGACGGGCGAGCTCGACAAGACGGTGACGATGAGCCAGGGGGACGCTGCGGCCGGACGGGTTGGAGAAGGTCGGCACCAGGTAGATGAGATGTCTATACCTGCGGCCGTCTCTTTCGACTTCTTCTACTGCTTCAGCATCAACTTCCTTCATGGACTGCTCGAGATAGGCCAGGTCGATGCCGTCGTCGGTCTCGGGCACAGCTCTCAGTCTCCCCCTGAAGCCGGCGTCTTCAAAGATACGGCAGGCCAGGTAGAAGCAAGGGGCGACCATCCAGACTCGCCGGGTGTATCTGGGATCCGCCAGCACCTGCAACACCGTCACCAGGCCCTGGCTGGCGCCCGCCGTGATGCAGACCTCGTCGACCTCGTTGGGCGTGCGGTAGAAGCGGGCGAGCAGGCTGACGACCTCCTGGCGTAGCTGCACAGGGCCGGCCGGGTCGCCGTACTCGAGGGCGTCGGTGGCAGCTTCAGTGCTGGACAGGACCGTCTGGACAGCGAGCGAGAGCCTCTTGACCGGCAGCAGCGAGGGCGCCGGCTTGCCCCAGACGAAGTTGATCTCTTCCTTCTTCTTGTCCATTCTCTGTCTCTCTGTCTTGTCCGTCTCTCTCTGGCCTATATCATCTACGAGACTACGACTCGACTACTCCGTACAACCCACAACTAATATATAGATATACGATATAAAAGCATGAGATGGAGACTCGGGGTATTTAACTATTTAACTAACTAGGTAAAATCCACTTGCCGAACCTTCTTATTTGTCCGTCTTATTTCTTTTTGCCTTTTCAGCTTCCTTGCTAACAAGCCTTGGTTCAGCCACTCGACTCTCTTTTGCCCCGGATCCCTGCCAAAAAGGCGCGAGTTTGAGAAGGAAAAATGAGAGCGAAACTAGCGGATTTATTCTTCTTCTTCTTCTTCTTCCTCTTCTTCTTCTCCTTCTTCATCTCCATCTTTCTCTTCATCTTCAAAGACGCAAGATGGAGCCGGAGAAGAGAGAAGTTGCTGGAGTTGGCGCTGAGGCTGGGGCTGAAGCTGAAGTTGAAGCCGTCCAGCAGGATGTCGAATACCCAACAGTCTTTTGGGCGTCTTGCGTCTCGTTCGGAGTCGCTCTCGGCCTGTTTATGGTGTGTTTTGTTCCAGCTCTTCCTGCTCTGCTCTGGTTATGTCTAACTAACCAATGTGTAGGTCGGCCTGGACATGGTAATTTGCTCCTCCAGCAAGTGGACAGGACTATTATTCACAGCTGCATAGACAATCGTCGCCGCCGCCATTCCTCGCATCACAGACGACTTCAAGGGCATCAACCTTGTCGGCTGGTATGCATCGGCCTACTTTATCACCCTGGCTTGCTTCCAGCCTTTCTGGTAGGTCTTTCTTTTCCTTCCTGGTACACGTATGGGAAGCACCCTAACACTGTCTAGGGGCAAGGTATATCCCTTCTTCTCAATCAAGTACACATTCTTGGGCGCCATCTTCATCTTCAGTCTGGGATCTCTAATTGCCGGTACGTCTACTTCCTGCGTTTATCATTTTTACACTTCCAGACTAACGACGGTCTAGGAATTGCACCTAGCAGCACCGTGCTCATCGTCGGCCGGGCTGTCATGGGCGTCGGCGGCGCTGGCATCGCATCAGGCGGATACGCCATCCTCGGCGTCGTCGTTCGCCCACAGCTGCGACCCGTCTTCACTGGCCTTATTACTACCATCTACAGCATCGCCAACGTCCTTGGACCCATCCTAGGCGGAGCCTTCACCCAGCAGGCGACCTGGCGATGGTGCTTCTACGTCAACCTGCCCATCGGCTGTGTCGCCGGCCTCGTCATCTTCTTTCTCTTCCGTCCTCCACAGTCTGCTCACCGGGCAGATGCGCCGCTCAAGGAGAAGCTGTCTCACATGGATCCCATCGGCATCGTCCTGGCTCTCATGTCACTCATCTTCTTCACGCGTGCACTGGAGATCGCCGGTATCGAGGAAGAATGGAACTCGGCTTCCGTCATTGGCTTCCTCGTCGCCTGCGCTGTTTCTACCATTGGCTTTGTAGTATCGCAGTACTTCCAGGGTGACCATGCCCTGCTCATGTCGAGGCTACTCAAGCGCCGTGTCGTCGCTGTCGGCATGGCATATGGCTTCTTTCATGAGGGTGCTTTTTACCTGCTGCTCTACTATGTTCCCATTTACTTCCAGGTCGTCGTCGGCGCTTCTCCTTCCAGGGCTGGTGTCTATAACCTGCCCTTGCTCATCAGCTGTGGTGTCGGCTCAGCGGCTGCGGGTGTCCTCGTCTCTCTCACGGGACACTACGTCCCACTCATGCTCTGGGCCAGTGCCGGTGGCTGCATTGCTTCCGGCCTCATCTACACCCTCTACGCTGCTGCCCCTGCTGCCCAGTGGGCTGGATATCAGGTCCTTGCCGGGCTTGCGTACGGGTCCGGCCTACCCCTTGCCATCATCGCAGCTCAGGCCCAGACGAAGCCCGAAGACCTTGCCTCCACCACTGCCATGCTCCTATGTACGTTTCCCCCCCTCCCTTTTCTCTCTCCTACATAACTAATAATAACTTAACACCGTATAGTCTCCTTCTGTGTCGGCACCTCCACCTCCCTCGGAGCAGGGCAATCCGTCTTGAGTAACATGCTCCTAACAAAACTGCGAACTCTCGCCCCTTCCGTCGACCCCCGTACCGTCATCGCTACAGGAGCCACGGAGATTCGCGACGCATTCTCCGCCGAGGCCATTCCCGGCATCGTCGAGGCCTACCTCGTCTGTCTACGTATTGTTTTCTTAATTGTCACCGCCTATGCCGGTGTCGCAGTCATTTGTACATTCGGTAATAGTTGGCGAAGGTTAAAGCTGAAGTAGAGGGTCATAGTATCATGTTAATGATATTATATAAAAGTGCTGTAGCTAGGGTAAAAAAAAAAAAAATAAAAATAACCGGGGGGTTAAGATGTATAAAAAGTATATAAAACTCCTCTCATTCACAAATAAATATATCAGTTCCTTTCCAATTTGTCCGTTTTTTCTATTTCCTTTCCAATCCATTCGTCCCCACTTTAACAGCCTTCTCTTTGAAGTAACTCGGTCTCCCATTTTTCTCCCGACCAAGCTCAAACTTCGGATTATCCTCAAAGATCGCCCTCGGTCCACTGATGAGGCTTCCGTCAGCCAGATATGCCACACTGCACTGCCAGGGTATCGTATATGTAGTGCTGGTTGGTAGCAGGTTGATGGAGACCATATGCTCGCCCGTCGACTGATGCACACTCAGGCGGAGATGGTCTGGGAATTTGTCCCTGATTGCCGCCGCCAGCGTCTATAATAATCATTAAACGGTCAGTATCGTATCTGCCTGAAAAAGTTAATAATAGAACCAACTTACGTCTCCACGAATGATCAGCTGTCTAGCTAGGAACTTGACATCGTCGCGATATCTCAGGCCGTTCTTATGCTCGTCCAGGTTGTACATATACCGAAGGTCATTCTCCAGCAGCTGTGTATAGGCACAGTAGATCAACCTTGTATCTTCCTGCTCCACAATCTCCGTGGCCACATCCAGCTTCGGGTTACTGAACTTGTTCAACAATGCTCGTCGGAAGTTAGAGGCGTTGGCAACATATACCATTTCCTCGACCTTGGCCGGTAGTCCGGGAATGTGAACAAGGTCCTTTGGATGAGTGAAGCTGAGGTGAGTACAACCGCTCAATTTAGCGAGAGATCGCAAGGCCTCGCTATATGCCCAGACTTCACGGTCCGTGATACTGAGCAGATCTGGGAGAAACTCCAATTAACAAACTGATGATAAGAAGGCGTTTTTCTCTTGCATTGAATTACCATTGTAAACAAGCCCGGCTGTGACTATAAGCATCTTCGCTCCGGGTTTATATATGTTGCCGATATCTTCACATATAGCGTTTAGCCGCTTTAGGGCCACCTCCTCCCCCTTGTCGGGCAGCTTGCCTAGTACCCTATACGCGGTATTGGCCGACTTCCACGGGAATGCTGGCAGACACATCTGTACCGCTTTGCCGTCCTTGACGAACTTGCGGATCACTGTGATGAACTTAGGGGCACCTTGAGCCCAACCATCATGGGCATCGGGGGCCTTGGGGAGAAGGTATTGCTCAAGCACAGCAAGGATCCTCTCCGCTGTCTGTCTGTGTACATCATCTTCTTCATCATTTGGGGCATCGACAGGTTGGTCCGGTTCCGAAACTGGTTCTTGAACAGCCACTATTTCGGGCTGAACTTTCTCGTCGGAGATGGACACGGTTTTAACGTTTCTGAAGGCCAACTCCTCATGTCTGGTTTCGGGCTGGCTTGACGGCATGGTGATATACCGATAAGGTATCGATCAGAAGTGGGATATCGGAGATTTGTGGTTTGTGTGTTTTGATATCAGGAGGCAAGGGGGTGAGGAGGAAGTATATAGATATATAGAGGTGCGAGTCATGGCAACGCCATGCGATCTGGGCAAAAAGAAGTTAAGAAAGCCCAGCAAGGCTTGTCGGGGTATATCTTTCTAGAGAAAAGAGCTAGAGAAAGTAGCTAATCTGGGGGAATAGGGCCTGGAGAACTGGCCGGGAGGTTCTTTTGCTCATGGAGCTTTTTCATCATCCGGGGAATTTCAAGAAGCCTTTTTTTCTTCTTTCTCTTTTCTCTTCTCTTTTTTTCTCCTTAACTAGTTACGTTAAAACACTAGTTATTTTACCAAGCCTGATATCATGAGGCCAAGGATTGATCTTTTTGACCATATAATGGAGTGCCCCTCCCCCTGACGTGCTGGATATCAGATACCGCTTGAGCCTCCCGTCAACGCAATGAAGAGCAGCGCTTTGACTTCGAGACGCCACTCCTTTTTCTCATCGTTGACAGGCCTTGACAAGGCTAGACTAACGTGGACCCCATCAACCGAAGCTGAAATTCAAGTCAGGCTGGCGACTTTGGCTCCTTCGAATGCGGGCCAGCATGTTCTCACACTGGATTCTGAAGAGGATTTGGTACTTGCAGGAAGCACTTGGCAGCATATAGCTGAATTATCCCTGCTCTTATCTCCCACGGAGGTCTTGATGGATAAATAGGCTGCAGGAAAAATAAGTTCGAGATCCTTTCTCTTTTCCGAGGTTTTTTCCTCCGCACCTTGTTATTTGGCCGCGGCCTAATAATGAGCTACCCCTGTTAAAGGGATATCAGCGAACCTGGGCTGAGGCCGTCAAAAGAGAAAAGGTATCCCGTACATGGGTAAAACTCCTCCAATACGAGATGACGGAGTCGCCGGCCTTTTTTTTTCTTTTAAAAAAGAAAATAGCCGTGCGAAGTGAGATTGTACCGGACCAAAAGCCATGGGAGGACATTATACTCAGCTCCAATTAAGGAGTACTATTAAAGGCTCAAGGTTGACGTGTTTGTTTGGTTGTCTGCAGGATATCTTCAATCCGTGTTAATTCTTCTATACTCGCACCGTCTATATTGCCAAAATGGGGGACAGTGCTTCTTCTCAGGTTGTGGTTGAGTCGGGCCTCGAATACAAGGAGGTAGCCACCAAGGGGATGCTGGCTTATAGAGCGCCATCGCTTCAGCAGCCTCACAAGGCCCGTCAGGCCTTAAGAGATGCACATGAAGGCAAGATTCCCCCACTGATAGGATTCTACTTGGCCCTGCCTACCGTTCCAATTGCCAGAATGGCAGCCCAACTAGGCGCCGACTTCATCTGGGTGGACTGGGAACACTCGCCCTGCGGCGTTGAGACCATGACGAATGTGAGTTACATTCGATCCTCGACTGGGCAACGGATGGGCGGCTGATGTTCAATCTCAGGTAGTCCATTCTATCCAAGAGGTGAGCGAAGGGAGGACTATGGCATTTGTCCGGTTAGTAGCCACTACTTCCAACTTCACCTTCGAGACCGCAACAGCAAAAGTTAACCCTTTTTTTCAAATAAAAGAGTCCCTGGTCATGATCATGCAAACATCGGCTTCGCATTAGACGCTGGAGCTTCCGTTGTCGTTCCCCAAGTCGATACTGTTGAGCAGGCTGAGCATGTTGCGGCCGCCACCAAGTTTGGCAAAGCATACAAAGGAAGCCGTTCTGCACCTCCCGCTCGCTGGCTTCCAGGATTAAGTGCCAACACCATCGATCCATCGTTGTCCATATGGGAAAGTGTGAATAAGCAGGCTGCGCTCATCATTCAGATAGAATCCGAGGTTGGCGTTAACAACCTGGACGCCATGCTCGCCTCCGTAGGAGACAACATCGACGCTGTCTGGATCGGCACTCTCGACCTGCGTGTCAGCCTAGGGTTTGATGGGATGTGGGGAGAGGAACCAGAGTTTCTCGCTGTGATCAAGCGATACGAAGATACTCTGAGGAAGTATGACAAGCCTAACTCGGGAGGATGTTTCAATAAGAACTGGCCCCTGATGGCAAACAAGTCCTTCATCCCAGTCTGTGGCGACTGGTTGGGCATCCTGTCTCAACGGGAACTCATCGTAAACGCGAGAGAGAACCTGCCAGCCGCTGGCAAGCGTTCTTGCTAGAGACAAATTTTTGGATATTATGAAGCCATCATACTCCGTATTTAGGATAAATAATCCCTGCTTCATTTACCAGATCCAACTAAACAATCGCATATCCGTATCAACTCTCCAGACTTCGTATATCCTCTCCCAGATCTGTATATCTCTGTTCGTATAAGATTAAGATCGAATATCACAAGCCACCAACCGAGGGCCATAGGACGTCGTTTTCTTGCCTACAGTTTGCATTGAAAAAATCTCTCGATGCTGGTTGAAAGACGCAGATATATTATGATGTCGTCAATGACACTAGCCAGAAATAGATTCAACGTATACATCTCTAGTTATGATCCTTGCTAGTGTACGGAGGAGAAAGCATTTGTTGATGGATTTCTCGCTTGCCCTTGGCCTTTCTTCCCCAAGGTAGAGATGAAATCCTTCAAACCCCCCTCTTCGGTTCTCCTTGCCTCTCTCGCTATTGCAATACGACTAATATCACTATCCGACCCTTGCTCTTGAAAGCATTATCCCCCGTTGTTAGGAAGGAAGCTGGGCTATCCACAGGTTGCAGTGGCAGCTCATCATTCACCGCCTGTTATGCTTCGTCCGTTGGATACTATGCAGCAGCTGTTTGGAGAGACACAGCCGCTGTCTGGGCAAAATTCAGCCGTTCCTCAAAGCAGAGAGGCCGAACCCTTTCAAGTAGTTAAGGATCCATGGCCCACTTCCGGATAGCGCTATAGGGTATATAATCTAGCTAGCTTTTGGATGAACAAGAATTTGCCATTCTCGAGATGCACAAGCCGCTATTCCCTGAGGGATTGTGCCAAAATGGTGATTGCTGAGATCACCGAAGTGTTCATTGTTGAGTGAACCGGGCTGGACTCTAATGGATATTAGTTAGCAAAAGAAAAGAAATGGGAGCGATGGAGAGCGCAAAAAGAAACGGCGATAGCTGCAGACTCAAGCATAAAACCATATATAACTACGAGACTTGCAAGGAGTTACGCACATAAGTGCGTGGAGACTGGGAGAGGCTGCAACCTATTCAACCAGGGTATTTGAGTATACCTTGCACATGAAGCAGAAATAGATTAACCAACATCCGCGGAAGAATGCCTGTTGGCTTGGTGCGCGTAAAACAGCTCCATGCTGGCCTCCAAAAGTACCATACGGAGCAGTTCGTCGGCATGGAAGAGAACCTGGCAAGTTATCTTCATGTAGCTAGTTACTAAACAACTTAACGGTCCGGCCCCTCCCGTTTGTCTTCCCGCCGCCCGTCAGTTGCTTCATCGGCTATATTGCAGAAGCCAAGATGGCTGCCAGTCGCTGCATAACTCAAACATCTTCGGGCTCACCAATAGCTAACTGAGTACCCCGTAACTGCCCCATATTCCGTATTGACTGAAGATCACTGACATCTTATCCAGAGGTGGGATGACGCTAGGCCCCCCTGCTCGTCTTTGCCATGGTCCTCATCCGTATAGAACCTGTGGATAAATTTACGCGAAAATGCCGGGGGTCCACGATAAGAGAAATGAGATATCTTAAAGACACGTACACTACTAGTCATGGATTGGAGTCTGAACCAGGGTTGAGATTCAACCTGCATATAGGAATATAACCCTAAGTTCTCCTTCTGGTGCTTCTATTCCTTATACCATCCTACGAGCCGACCGATCTAGGGTCAGCCGCAACCAAATATCTACTTCCCCCCAGGATAGGAATAAAGAAAAACAAGATCCGAAGAATGAATAAAAAATAAGAAGAAAAATATAACACCAATATCGAAAGCTTTCCCTGTGAACCCTGGGCTTCATTTATTTTATTTTTATTTATATACAGGTAACTGGTGCGGAGTACGGAAGCATGGCATCAGATCATACCAACGACGACAGCAAGTACATGTTTGGCTCGCAGCCAAATATACGCAATGCCTGTGATGCGTGCCACAAACGCAAGATACGCTGTATGGTGTCGAGAAATGGCGGGCCTTGCTATAATTGCAAGTCAAGAGGGCTTTCATGCTACTTTCTACCACGGTATAGGAGCGGCAGACCACGCAGGCGTGATAACTCCTCTCCCGAGACGATCGAAACAATCACACCTACTCCTACTCCTACTCCCCCTAGCACAAACAATTCCTTCTGGCCAGGAGCCCAAAAAGCTGTCACATCATCGACAAGGAAATCTCCAACAGTCGTTGACCAAAATAACGACCTCTTAGGCTGGGTCTCTGACCAGGACTTTACAGCTCAGATAGAGGAACATGGCTCTGACTTACGAGTATCTGGCCAACCGCTAAGGCTTCCCGGAGCTATAGACGGCCCCTTCATGGAGCCAGAGCAGACGGCTTTTCCCAACTTTACCGATCCATCGTGCCAGCCATTTTCTGATATACAGCCTGACGACCTGGTTACGCTACCGCCACTCCCAAACATTCAAACGCCATCCTGGTCACCAGCTTTTCGCCAGCCATCTGATCGCAGCAACTATCGTAACGGAATATCTGGAGAAGGCGGGTTTACTAGCTTGCTGGAACAATGCTCAAGGCTTCAACGTCATCTTACTTTAACGGAGAAAGAAGGACCTGCAGGCTCAGGGGAGACGGGTTTACCGACCCAAAAGAAGAATGACATGTCAGATAACCAGGTACAAGAGATACTAGAAGACGTCGACGCCAGCTGCAAACTCATGCTCGAGATGTGTGATGAGGGAGGACTGTTCAAGTCGGCTTCAGCACAAGTCAACAACCTACTGGACTCGGCTTCCATCTCCTTGATAATAACCGCCGTCTTCAAGGTTTTCCAAATATGTGATGTACTTTTCAGTGGCCAGGTGCTACGGGTTCATTCCATGAAGGATATACTACGACAGAAGCGGCTCGACTTTAATATTACCCAGGCAAGGATAGTGACGGCACGGATTGAGCAACTGACGCAGAGTAGGCCTCTGATTTCACAAGAATTGTCAAAAAGAGCAGTTTATATTGAGGAAAGGTTTACGAGCCAACGCGGGCGTAGCTCTGCGGAGATGGATGGCAGTCCCGAAACATAAGGGTGCCCAGGAATAATTTCCTTAATATCCCAGTGCTTACAGCGTTTGCTTTGCTATTTAAAATATTTAGGATTTATAGGAAAGGGGAAGATAAGTGCAAAACAAATGTAGATTCGGATTATAGTGAAGGATGTAACCAGTAGCGCAACAGGGTCCTCAATAGCAGCACACAAGAGGTACCTATCTAACGGGCAGTAGAATGGGCAGGTATTATTAGATTGTTATTTCTGCTAATACCCTAGCACCAATAGTGCTGCGAATATGGCGTATCCCTATCAGTCGGGGGTTGGGTATCTCCGGCACGAATCGCAGAGCCCCTGACGGGTTTGTTTAACGATACGTTTATTGCAAGCTGGATAGTACGGACAGTCTATAAGTCCCTCGACCTTCACATCACCACACCCAATATATGTAACCTCTGTCCAAGCACACATGATAGAGCTATAACTATATTAGCACCTGAAAACTATTTTATTGTAGATTGAAGGTTCTCCTGAATAAAATACTAAAAATAACTCACATATATTCCTTGAGTTATAAGCTCGTGGTATATTTAATAGTATTTAGTAAGATTTTAATATTTGTCGACTTGGGGTAAGTATCTTTGGTAGAGTGTATAATAAAATGCTTGAATATCACAAATCACAAGTATTCAGGAGAATGAATAAAAATTTCTCTTTGAATGATTGAGCAGTCGCTATATAATGGCTTTGGGACCGTAGAAGCTAATAATAAAGCTTTGAGAGAGTTCAATATTCATTTATCACAGATTGATTGAGCCAGTTTATATACCACGAAATATTATAGAACTCGAAGGAAATTGCTCGATATCTGTTGCATCAACATTTGGTATCATAGCTAAACATGCGCCGAAAAAAAGGCAGCACTGGGTACATTCTGCATTCGAGATGATTATATGAGGCTATACAGCCTCACAGGGTATCCGAATGAGGCGGACAAGATGATACGCCGCATTGAATGTTAATTATGATATCATTCCGTTAGGCTGTAGGTAGGTAGTACTTTTGATTATCTACCATTGATAATCAAATGAGACACTAAACAGCCTCACAGGGCATCTGAACGAGGTTGACAAAATGATACGCCGCATTGGGTGATGGGTATGATATTATCCAGACGGCAGGCAGCACTCTTGTTCGTCTTCCATTGATAAATAAATGGGAGACTACAGCTACACCGAGTACATAAACGGGGCGAAAGAGGTGCGCAGCAGAGTGATAGACCATTGTCATTTTACCAAGCTGACAGAGCAGACAGCACTCCTAACTGACTGCCTTTGATCATACGTGGCTTGGTATAGAAGTTCTAGGGGTAAATAGCAAAAGCAACAGGGCGTCGGGCAGTGCTATTGCTGCCTAAATTCAGCATGAAATTCCACTGCGACCGCCAACCGAAGTTGCATTGAACAATTCCCAGCAACGGAGCTTTGCTGATAGTATAGTATCGGTGTGGTTTTATCGATCTGCCCGACACGGCTGATCGTTTCGAGTGAACATCGTGTAGTATGAGGTATGGAAAGGGGCACATCGAGCTTCATAATGAGTGCATGCTTGTTGCTGGCCTGTCGAGGGTGATGGGTATAATATGTGCGCGTAGTGAGAAGTTTCAGGATGTTGTTTTGGGGCCAACGATGCAACGCGAGAACCAACCGATGAGCTAGTGACTTGGGATAACTAGTTAGTTAGTTATATGATAACTAGGTAAGCACTATCACTAACTTGCGGGAACTCCCGCAACCATTTGCTTGTGTAGAGAGAAACAACACAAGGTCTTCTATTCGCCTCCGGACACCTATTCTTCCTGTTCCTCACTTATGACGGCAACTAAATATGAAAAACTAACTAGGTGTTAGTCTTGTATATATAGAAAAATTTTTGAAACGCTCGTCACGAGGGAACTCAGATTCCTGATAGTGGGTAGTCAAGAATTTCTTGATGCGCGGAGAACATGGATCCGTGCTATAGCTAGGTAGTTAGGATATGGAAGAAATACATAAAGTCTAAAAGAGCACTTACTGGACTCTCCCTTCTGGTTTATGTTCATAGAAATCCCAAAACATCATCGCGGGCCGCGCGATATCTACGATTATCTCCTTTACCGGGATGTCGGGAGCGCAGGAAATGATCACAGTTGTGTCATCAACCTCAAGGAAACCTTCAGGGTCGTTCAGGGTGTTGACTCCGTACTCTGCAAGTACCTCAGAGTCGAGAGGTGTGTATGAAGGGTCCTGCATAAAGCATTGGATAGCCTGATTAGCTTTAGATAAGTGGCTTAGGCTCTTCTGTAAAGTGAGTATCAGAGCGTGTTGGGCCGACGAATTCTCCCAGAAAAGTTTTCCTAACTCATCATTTGGGGCATCTGAAAATCGACCTGTAATTTCGCCACATGCAAATGCAACAATCTTGGTGATCTTGAGGTCTGGATGAAAGGTCATTTTGCTTAACGTTGACTGCAAATTTAGGCAAGTTTCGCTTGACTCCCACTGCTCTAAGGCTTGCTTAAAGGCAGATTTGACAATGTCACTGGACGGGACAGGTTTTATAAATTCCTTTGTAGTTCTGTCTCGTTCGGCTATATCTGAGGTTATACGCATGTTGCAGTATGCCTCGCGTTCACTAAATATGTATGTTCGGAGATACTCTGCCGATACGTAAAAGATATAAGGCTTAACTCTACAAATCATCGTAAGTGCGGATGAGCTACCGAACATCGCATCATCCGAGGGTAGAGCCATAGACATACACAACTTCTTCGATGTTCTCGGGCAGATCTTCGTTTCGCGTCCAGGCATCGCCGACCTTGATGTCATAGTCGACCATAACACCATCGAGTCCTCTGACTGATATTGTCCGCCCTTGCCGCAAATCCCCTTTCAGCTGTTCGTAAACATCGCGGATGCTGTCTCTCGTGAAGAATGGTACGCCTGCATCGTACATAGCCTGAATGTCCGACCTTATCTTGTTGATAGTAGCTTTTGGGAGATGGTGGTTTGTATACGATTTGCGTATCTCTTCAAGAGAAGGATAATCCTCGGGAGGAATATAAACCTTTATCGTCGCAGCCATTTTCGAACTGGTTAGGAGGAGGGATGGAAGAAACGCCGTGAGAGAGATGTAGTGGGAGAGAATGTTTGGTTGCTTTGTCGTGCTCCATATTTCTTTTGCGGGGCTTGAGGACAAGTTCGTCTGCCCGCCCGCCGTTAGGAGATTATTAGGGCCTTAGGAGTAAAAGTGAGGAATCTGTAAAACATAGGAGATGGTGGTGAGGAAGAGGCAAACAATAGGGATTATGACTAATATCTTGGCTCGGATGACTACCTAGACTAGTTAACTAATATAAAAGATAAGCCGTCACCATTTTTCCTTTCCTTTCGCTCCGACGTTCGCACCATTCATTCATCATCGATTACAAGTCAGTGACGTTTATCATATACCCTCGTCCCCCAAAGAGCTACAAACACGATCCACAACAGGAATATACCTAGAGCTTTCTGTTTTCCTCTGCTTCAAAATTTTCAGCTAGTTCAATGTCTCGCCAGGAGAAAATGACTGCTCAGATGTGTCATCCCCCAGCCAAATCGACCGTTACGAAGGCAACAGCCGACCATTCAAGCGTGTCGTCAGCGGATTCTCCGGCTTCAACAGATGCCACGAGTGTGTCCTTGACTGAACCTGTGTCGCTAAAGATAACCTCAAACCTCTTACACAAGTCGCCCCTCCCGATCCCCTCAGCAGAGCTTCAAGACAAGAAAGCTCCTACCCGGTTTGATAAAATGTTGGACGACCTGAAAAATAAAAGCCCGGAGGAGCTCGCTGCGTATCTACAGAAGTATGGCCCAAAGAGTAAGCCTTCCCGACCTCCTAGCTATAGTTTTTTTTTTTTTTTTTTTTTTTTTTTGCTGAAACATAACATTGCTGAGAGATAAAAGTTGTCCGCGAGGGTGACCCTATCCCTTACGATACAGACGCAGATATCAAGTATTCCATGGGAGAGGAGTACTAATAACTAACTTCCACCGTCCTTTCCCCCCAGAAAAGTCTGTGTAAAGTTTCACTCTCTGATCAACTCACCCTCACTCGTCTGTGACTATCACTCTTATCTTAACGACGCGCTTCACATCTCAGATAACTGTATCCCAGGTTTCCACGCGTGGATCTTTTTTCTCACTGACAAACCGCTAGGTAGTTAATTAACTAGTTAGTTATCTAAGCACGCCCTGACGCGTCTATTTCTAACTATGCCACCCCGCGTTCCGTCCAATCAACAGCAGTGTCTACTTACTACAGGCTAATTCTTTCGAGAATGGCGTCTTTGGTCTATGAGGAGGCGTGGGTCAACTCCTGCTACACTTCGTTTATCATGCTCGATTTCATTTTAAAAAAACTTCACATCGACATGTATACGTTTGTCACAGGAGAGAGCTCAATCAGCAAAGAAAAAATGAAGGAGATGCTTCAAGTTCAGATGTTTACAGCAAAAGACTTGTTTCCCCTTTGGAAGAATGGCACCAGCTTGTGTACCTCTTTTGCCACTTATATCGCGTCGCATCCCAAGAACAGTGACCACCCTACAATGTTTCAATTCACCGAGCTCAACCGAATACATCGTGCATGTTTTAGTAAGAGACGGCACCATTATCGACTCCTCTGCTACTAAAATTCTCGAAATGAAGGATGAAAAACCAATCTCCCGCTACAATTGGCTCTGGAATCTTATTTAGTTAACAAATCCTTCAATGGTCTCACACTTTTGTTTCAGGTATGTCTGTTCTATTTACTTGTTTTGCTTTGTTTTATTTTGTGCTAATATATAATAGGCCTCTAAAAGTTCCCAATTTATAGCTTTCTAGCCCTTGCAGAGCTATGTTAAAGCAATGCATAACTGTATACTTCAGCTCTGCAATCAGAAACCCTTTCTTTGTCTCTTCAGGTAAGACTTCTACTAGACATTTTCACTTTTAATAAATAATACTAACTATATATAGAATTAAAGCAGGTACCCAACTCTGCTTTATCGGGATAATCATATGGAAGCCTTATCAATATCGTATCTCATGGAGCGAACTTCTACTAAACAAGACATCAAATAAGATGCAAATATACGAGTATTCTGTCCAATTCTCCACGGCTACAGAAGGTGCCGAAGCAAAAGAAGCCATTTCTATATACTTCTATCGCTTTGTTCGGTTTTGCGAGCACGAGAACAGAGCCAGACAGTACGCACTGGCATCGCCCACTTTTATATTATCTATACAGTGACATATAGAATTTCTCTGGACGCAAGGCAGCAGGTGCAGAGTTACTGCGTTAACTCAATATACCTCTGATTGCGAGACTCGACCAGGTTAATGGCTGCGAGGGATACTTTGCAATTCTAGCAAAGCACAACATGCGCAAGAGACAGGTAGAACAGATTATACTCAATGTATGGTCTTCTAGTATCAATACCTTTATGTATAGGATTTGCTCAGAAGGGTGAAAATGAATAGTGTTATTGAAGTCGTTTTGTCTTTTGTGTGTGTGTGTGTGTGTGTGTAACAGGTGGAAAAATGCAAGACTACTCCAGAAATCGCTTCATGCAACACGATTAATAGGAGCCTGCACCAGGTCCAAACCCTCCGAGATCGCAGCTTTCACTGGTGTAGCCGATAAAACGCGTCCATTTATCGAGGCTTCCGTTGCAACACATCCTCTCATACGGAGGAGGTATCTAGCTGCAGCCATCGAGAGCTTTGCCATCCTTCAAGGTAGTGACGCCGTTCCTTGATTTGCTAATATTGTTATTGGTGATTACTTCAATATATAGGCCAGGTTCGGAATAGGACGTTGGGACGAAGTTGCAATTTGGAGAAAACAATTGGAAAATGCCAAAGCCTGGAAGGAACGGGCGGCAGAGAGGCATAAACTGTGTCTATCTTACAGATACAGAGCGGAGCCTTTAGTTATCGTACTTGGCCCTCATCTGAGAACTTCCTCTACCATGTCAACGGGATAGGCCCCTGTGCACCTTGGTTACATCCCCCACCCAACCTTTGCCTCAAGGGCCAAGTTGAAGGCAGCAAGGCATCCCAGACCTGAATCCTGCCCAGTACCTGCGATAAAGACGGCAAGTGATAGCGCAAAACTGAGCTATGAATGGCACGAAGGCATTTCCCTTATCGCTGTTCTGTATCAATCCCAGGTGCAAAACTTGCATGTTAGATTCTAGAGGGTTGGCTGTATATCGAAGCAGATGAGGTTGACTAGTTATCGCTAGTTAACTAGTTATCTCCTCAACCACGAGAGCTATAATGCCCATATCACTGATAACTCCTAGTTTTACTCTCATAGATTGCCTAATGATCACAACCAACTCCTTGCTCAACTTTGTCTATGAAAAATAAACTGCCACTAACTGCTTTCTCGAGCTCTTCAGCGCATCTAAGAAGAACCCTGTTCAGCTTATTTGCCTTCCTATTAGTTATTCGAATGGTCACTGAAGCTGGCATAATCCAAAAGATGTGCTGGTATTGCCGTCAACTACAACGCGCTCCATGCCTCACGTTTACGCCCAGCAGGCCTACCATCACATCTTGCTCTTCGTATGGTATTGGAGAGCCCGTCTCCCTTCGAATTTATGAAATGACTATGGCACAAGGCGGAATGTCTGCTGGCGTGTTTATACCAGTCGGGAATGCAAATAAGGCCGTTGGAATTAAGTTCTCACGCGGATACGGTTAACTAAACCTGTAGGTAGTTACCGAATTCCCGGGGTAGACTTTTCTACATTAAACTAATCATTGCCTTCTCCTGAATAACTACGCTGCATCGGAGGTAAATCCACTCCCGTACTAAGTACTCAATACCAGAGAACGTTACATCTTGTAAGCCTGGAGAAGGCATTTTCCAAAGAGCAACTCTATCTATTAGTTATCTTTGGGAATGCGAGGACAACTATCCAATCAGTATTTATCGTGGATACCTTGAGGAGAAGAGCCAAAGGGAGACTCTATTTCAACATTGTTTATGGCCACTCCCGCAGGGAAATAACAGTACGGGTAGGCCGGCCGATCAAGCTTGACGAAACGCTCGCCCTCGAGCCTAAGGAAGAAAACGTACAATGGGCCGCTATTTATATTTACATGTCAGGTTAATCGCAAAACATTAAATTCACACAAGGAAAGTAAAACTGAGTGCTTGAATAGTTTTGATTAATTTAAGTGCAAAAGTAGGTATGCTTGGCTGCCACGACTGTGATAGCGAGCAAGTGAGAAGTATAAAATGTTAAATGATGGCACGTTGACGATAAATCAAAAAGACGGCTATAATCGCAAAAAGCTGTTGCTATCTACCTAACGGCCGCTGCCATTGTAAAGTAGACGGCTGGTAGTATCTGGGCCGGGATTGCGGATAGTAGGCCGACTGAGTTGTTTGAGGCGAAGGCAGACACGGTCACCAGGAATACCCTCCTTGGCGATGAGGTATGCCGCAACGCCGGCAGCGTGAGGAGCTGCCATGGAAGTTCCGGACATAGTTTGGCTTCCACCTCCGGGTCGAGCTGAGAGAATGTTATGGCCTGGGGCATAGAGGTCAACTAGTTATTGAGAAAAAAGATCATTAGTGGCTGTTATTCGTATCGCGGCGCAACGCACAAGGTATACTAACCGGCAGGGCCCCAGTTGGAGAACGAAGCCTTTCCATCGTTCTCTGTGCTGGCTGCAATTGTGCAGACGGACCGTTCAGAAGCTGGAGAGTTATTATTCGAGTTGATCTATTTGCCCCAAGTATCGAGTTAATTAAACAGGGCTCTCTCCATAATACTGGCGGTTTTCACTCACATTGTCGTTGCCAGCAGAAACGGAAACAAACATGCCAGCCTTGATAGCCCGAGCAGTAACATGGTTCAGGCCAGCACTGTAGGAACCTCCAAGGGACATATTGAGGACGGACTTCTGTAGCTTGCCATGTTGACGGGCATGCTTGATGCTCCAGTTGATACCAGCGATGATGCCACTAGTTGGACCCTTACCCTCGGAGTCAAGCACCTTAACGGCAATTATCTTGGCCTTCTTCGCAATTCCGTAAGTCTTGCCGGCAATTGTTCCAGCGACATGGGTGCCGTGTCCGGTTCCATCTGAGTTCTTGTTATCAACAAGATTTGAGCCCCAGATGGCACGACCCTGAAACTCGGAGTGATGGATATCAACTCCCGAATCAACGACGTAGGCCCATACGCCGTTGCCAGCAGTGCTGTCGAATACATAATTGCGTCCTCCTCGGCGGTTGGAGAGGCGGGAAAGGCCCCATGGAGCCTTGCGCTGCTGAACAAAAACATGCTGCTTGATGATAGCGTCTGGCTCAACAAAGGCGACCTAGGGAGTTTACGGCATGAGAGTTGTATACTAACTACTAAAAAAACAGTAGCAAGGAAACTTGAACATACCTTTGGATCGTTTGAGATGTCCTTGATGGTGTCCTTATCAAAGATACCACTGTATCCACGTACATTGTCGAAGTCGTACGTCTCTTTGACGCCTTCGCCATTAAGGCCACGACGAGTCACGTTATGGTGGATGTTGGATACCCAGGCACGGTGAGAAGAGAAATCCTGCTCAGAGGTATCATCTTTCATGACCACGATGTAGCCATTGGGGACAACTTCAGCCCCCTGGGGGACACTTAAAATTTGTGCGGCATTAGTCACAGACAAAGCTGCCAGCGAAAGAGAAAGGATAGTGAGAAAGCCCGTCATAATGAGTGTATAGGGTCAGTAGGAGCAACAGAAAAAGAAAGAAAAAGAAAGAAAACGACTGTCAAGAAGGGGCAAAAGAATGTATAAGGGAACGACTGAAGAAGGGTATGAGTTCTTCTCGCAGCAAGAAGAAGGGAGGAGGCCATTTTATATAGTATATAGTAGCCCTTGGGTTGACTGCGATCCCTTGAGAACAACAGCACACACCCATGCGCTATAAAATTCCAAGCCAGGATGTTTTTCTCCTTTTCATTAATATGTTGGCATAATATCACCGGCCTTCAGATGCTCAACGGGTATCTTGAGAGGGTCTTTGGTCGCCCAGGCTGCAGGCCAAGCATACCCCGACGAATAACGGCAGAGAGCATGTGAAGCCACGGAATGCTCTACCTTCCTCACAGCGGAAGGACGCTTGGAAGAAAACACATGGCCGTACGGAGGACAATAGAAAAGGTAGTAGTCCAAAATCACGTTGAGCTTTCAAGCTGGATATCAAACAATATTTCAATAGCGTGAGTATGGTATAGTTCGTTATATGCCATTCTGGTGTGCAATTTTTGACAGAAGGCCCGCGGAGGACGACAAGCCGGAAGAAAAATTTGTTGCTTTGAGACAAGCCTAGCGGAACAAGTTTTTGGCCTGTTTCTTGGCAATAACCGCAGCCTTGGTATTCTTGGCTTTAATAATAGGTAGCTTATATAGAATTGGCAGCAGAGCTAACTACTTGGCAAATGGTTGAAGTTGTTCGTCGTTCCGAGCTCACCGTGATATTATTGTTTGTTGGCTGTAAGGGGCAAGGCATTGCTCGGAGTTGCCGGTGTTATTGAATATCTCGGCCAATAATATCGAGCCAAAAGTGGCCAATCGGAATCTAAGGATTGTTCCAGCCAGCAATCTACGTCGCTTACTAAATATAGTTGGCCGCCGCGCCTTCGATTATAGCCATGGAGCGCGTCAAGCGCGACTATATCACGTGCCTGGCTGCGCAACTCCTGAAGCGCTTGCTAACATGCGAGTCAAAATCAACTACTGTACGTTTTCGTGACAACAGATCAGTGTTCTGGGAACCTTGTCGCAAGAGCAACGTGATTATACTAAGCTCTTACGTTGGGGGCGTCGACACAGCTGGCGAAACCTAGTGCTTCGACCGTTGACTCGACATAGTCGGCCGTGGACGGTCAAGCTCATTAGGCTTGGGACTTACCTAACTGGTGGGAGTATTGCCTAACTTGGTCATCCCTCGACCGACTCAGATCTCCTTGTCGATGCTCCCATAACGAGATTGAATTGGTACCCACACCGTCTGGAGTGGCTGATGTCGGTAGCGCCACCTTCACATCAAGCAGGCCAACTAGTTTTATTGCTGCACTGGAGGGAGGAGTGACTCGGTATACCGTGATAAGCCGGACAGAGCAGATCGAGTTCCTGTATCTACCACACTAAATTTCACCGGCAACGCATTGAATCGCTTCCTGGGATACCTAAACGCTCCTTGACATATATACCTAGGTGAATTCCCAACTTGGAAACCTCACAAGTAGCTCAGGCGAGATGTTCCATGGACCACCAAAAAACTTATCTTTGCACAGTACCTGCACTCATTCAACTTGCTAAGAGGTCACTAAATACAGGCTGTACATATGATTCCTCCCAGGCACCGTTGGCTGGCAGTTTCAATTGGGCGGTCGTACTCTCATTCGACGACGGCGTGGAATGGCTCCTTCGATCGCCGCGTACGACTTATGCTCTAGATGAAACAACCACGAGAGCTGTGATTGCCAGCGAAGTAGCCACGCTCAGGTATATCAAGCAGAACAGCTCGATTCCTGTTCCAAATGTATATCATTACAGGTAAGTTTCATTGTTTATGTTATATACTAAGCTACCCGGTGTAGTTACTGACCATAACGGAGTTTCTCTAAGGACAATAAACTCGGTGTCCCTTATATTCTAATGAGTAGAGCAAATAGCCATCCCCTTTCTGCATCGTGCTGGCTGCCTAAAGCTAAAGAGAGTACGGATCGGGCACAATGGTTCGTGCGGTCTACTCAAGGCCGAGCAAAAGCAAAAGGTCATGGTCCAGTTGGGTAAAGTCATGGATCAGTTTTCACAGCTTCTATTTGATAAAATACGTTCTCTGTTTGAGGAGGAAGGGCGCTTCCGGGTGAAATCATGCCTACTGCCTAGCTTCCTCTTTCATAACCGGTACGAATTACAAGGGATCTGTCGAGGCCCGTTCAGCGAGGAGAATGAGTACTACAGGGCCCTGCTTTCAGTATACTGTGGACATATACAACATCTGTCTCTGGGGCATCACGCTCTATTTACCCCCGTGCCAGTACCTAAGGAGTATGACTGTTATGACAGCTATCTAGCGGCAACAGATCGGTGGAATGGTTTCGTAACGCTAGGCTCCCGGGTAGAGAACAGTGGGAATAGGTTAGATTACTTTATTGCAGGGCAGTTTCTTGAGAAAATGATACCAAGACTCACGAACAACTTTGAAGAGTTCAAAGATCGTCATATGGGAAGATTTACTCTCTACCACCCCGATCTAAGTGCGAATAACATCTTTGTCGACGAGGAATGCAATATTACTTGCATTATTGATTGGGGCTTTGTCTCTACTGTACCGGTAGACCTTCTCCTAGCCACTCCAGGCCTGCCCCATCCGAGGGGCGACTTGGATCTCTCCTTGACTTCCGCATTCAGATCTGGCTTTACTGATCGTTCTTATCCTATATCCTGGGAAATGGGTAGGATGTTGTGGCTTTTCATGCGCTTGGTTAACATGGATTCTTTACAAGACTATCACTTATTAGCGGAGCTCTATACACTGACGTATAGTTCGCAAGCTACCCTCCTATTGCATGCATTCAACGAACAGTATAGTCAGCCAGCTATTACGGATATGCGAAATATCCTCTCTGCTAATGACGAAACGGCAGCCGATATCGCGCGTCACGAAAAGGGTTACTTCTCCAACATGAGCTTGCAGCGCTATACGGTGGCCAGAAAGATAGATCTAGCTTCAAAACTAAATACTATTTTTGTCGCAGATAAAAGACTTTGGCTATGGATTGAAAAGGCACTTTCTGCGGATTGAAGGGCCGTCCGATATGCCCACAACTTGCGTTTCTCATCAGGATTAAGGGCGAACAAGTCGGCTCGGATATCTGGCCGATCGTCTAGGAATCCGCTTTGTCAAGAATGTTAATTAATGCTGCCCAATCCCGTAAAGTTTAATACAAAGTTCTTTCAAGCGTTTGAGCTTGCGAAGCTGGGACTAGACTCCCAACCACAGCTATCTGTTGGCCCCTGTCAGAGTAAATCGCATAGCAGCTCCGGGGTTATTTTAGGCTCAGCCTGCTAAGGAAATCACGGAACACTCGGAATGAGCCAAGCCTTGGGCTCAGGCACCAGGGATCAGAGTCTTGGCGATAAAGTTTTCCTATTTGGGTTAAGTCCTTGCCTGTCCAGGCTCCAGCAATATACACCCACGAATGACAGTATCTCGGAGGAATGATAGCTTACGATGATAGCGAGACTGAGCGGAGGTTCCAACGTCTTGGATGCCAGATTCTCCTATTTTGGCTAAGCATACCATGGAGCTGGAGATTCCATGCCTTGATGATGAGGTTCTCCTCTCCGGGTTAACTCCCTTGGCGATTGTATATACCCTGTACGGAGTAGGGCGAACAACTGCTTGGAGATGATGGCTATGTTATCTTCTTATTTATATACCAGTTGGAGGCGCATTTGATTCAACTTCTTTTCTATTTGGCATCCCAAAGAGAGAAAAGAGTCTTCTTACTACTGTTTTTCCACCAGAGAAGTTTGACGTGAGAACAAGATGACAGCAAGTGGGGAACCTGGTATGTCTCTTAAACATTCCACTTATTGTATCTGTACTGATCTTTTATAGTCCTCGGGAGCCTGTTCGTGTATGCTCCCAACAAGGTAGCACCTATCATCTTTACGGTTGCATACGCTATCTCAGCTGCTGGCCATACCTGGCAGTGCTTGTAAGTTAACTGTTTTCCTTAGTATAGCAGAACTAAATTACCTAACAGCTATGATTAAACAGTCGTTATAAGTCATGGAAAATGATCGGGCTACACCCCTTCTGCGCGGTACTGTTCACAGTTGGCTATGCTATGCGCGAATATGGAAGTTACAACTATCTCTATATGGACAACCTAACGACCCTTATTGTTTTTATTCTTGGGCAAATATTCATATACGTATGCCCGTCAGTGTACCCCAATCCATAGGTCGCGCTTAAGCCTTAGAATTTGCTGCTAATTATGCTTATTTAGTCCGCTTCTTGAGCTCGCCAATTACCATGTACTTGGTCGAATATTGCACTATGTGCCACACCTCGCACCGTTCCCACCCAGTAGAATTGTATCTACCTTCGGCCTCGTCATGTTAGTTGTCGAAACATTGAATTCTCTAGGGGTATCTCTAAGCTCCAACCCATCATCCTCTGCGAGCCAACAACATCTAGGGGGTAACCTAACAATTGCGGCTCTCTCGCTTCAATTTGCACTTATCTTTACCCTGCTTATCCTGGCGTCTATATTCCATCGACGGTGTGTTAGGCATGTATGTGACAAGTACCTCAAGCCTATCACCACTCTCCTAATCGTGCTATATGTAAGCATGGTATTAATTTTACTACGCTGCATTTACCGACTAATAGAGCACATGGGAAGCACGGCGGTCGACCTGGATAGCATTGAAAAACTCAAAGCGTTAAGCCCTATCCTGCGGCATGAGTACTTCTTCTACATCTTTGAGGCAACTCTCATGCTTATTAACTCTGTTTTGTGGAATATATGGAACCCTGGCCGCTTTCTGCCTCGAAATTACCTTATCCATTTAGATAAGGACGGGAACACAGAAGTTGAGGGAGCAGAAGAAGAGGATAGCCGGTCATTTCTAGTCAAGGTCGGCCATGTTGTGACTTTTGGCATTCTTTGTGGCAAAAGGAAAAGCGGCTGACCAGCGCTTAAATTTGTGAGTAAGATGCACCAATGCTACACATGGTGAACCAGCCGTCCTTATATCTGAGGCGGAAGTTCCATGGATTTAAAAGAGGTGGACTCGTGATAGAGAGGGATAAGTGAGGATGATCGCGAAGTGAAGATATTTTGATTCTCATCTATTAGATATGTATTTCTGTAGATATGAGAAACCATTGGTACATTTTTAGTCTACTTGCGGTAATACTTACGTGTATATACATCATTGAGGCATATGGTTGTAGTATTGCATCAATGTACAACAACAGACGCTGAAATTGAGGAAACTTCTACCCATATTATCATGAGTAGGCTATTTTCATTCTGGAGACAGTTAATTCTCCTACAGATACATCATATACAAGAATCGGAATTTCTGTGCTGCAACCGTTGCTTCGATGCTTGGTGTAATATTATGCAGGTAGATGTAGCTTACAGCTGTTTCTTCCATGAAGCTTTACGTAAAATATTCATAGCCACTGTCAGGCGGACCCTACGTTGCCATTTGTACTATGCGGCTGAATGACAGCATAGGAGGATCTAGGCTGTGATTCATCCCTGTGGCTAAGCCACAGTAGTTAAATAAGTAGACGATGGATTCAAAGATCCGTACAGAATACTCATTTTTCTGCGCTGCTCGCTTTCAGGGCTTGATCACATAAATAACTATCTAGGTTTTACCTACCGCGTTGGAATGGAGGAAAATCGTAAGCGTCATTGCTGGGAGTGTTTACGGCGCTGCCTGGTCTGTGACTTCGCCCAGCCTTCTTGCAAGCGTTGCTCCGCGTCAGGAACAGCATGTCCTGGCTATGGCGATGTTAAACCGTCAACATTGAGATGGCTCGAGCCTGGAAAAGTTGTTTCTCAGACGCGAAGGCGAAGGGCAGCTTGCACTGCGAAAGATGCGAGCAAGACCCGCGGACTCGTGGTGAGGACGAGGGCTGAGGAAATGAAGATTCCTCGCTTTGAAATGAAGACAGCATCCCATGCTATCGTCCAGGCCGCGGAGTACTGTAAGTGAACAGGAGAAAACACATCTTAATCTTATAAGTTATCGCTAATTTCGCCTTGCGAAGATAACAGCTGCATATATCCCGACCTCGCACCTATACAGGGGCTTGGACACAATCCTCATATATACCGTATCCTGCCTTCGCACATACGAGCCTCAGTCGCTCTGCCAGATTTCATATCGCTTGGTGTTGTCTGCATAACTCTGAACCATCGGATACACCGCATACGGAACAAGTCTCAGTGCGGCGATTTAGTGAAGACATATCATCAGTACAGAGGAAGCGTTATCCGCTCGCTCAACGAGACTCTTAATACTGAATCTCAGCGAATAGCAGATGTTGTCGTTGCCGGGATTCTCACACTCTTACTGGCGGATGTTAGTTAAACAGCCATGAAATACTACTATCCATCATCGGTTTATTGACTAAACACTATACTGCAAAGGCCCAGCAAGGAGACTCCCCGTGCTGGCGATGGCACATCGAGGCGGTACGAAGAATAATCACACTGCGCGGCGGTATCCGTGCCATGGCGAATTCAAAAGCCTTGCGACCTCTACTACTAGTCTTTGTGTGGTATGTTATTGCAAAAAATAGATTCAACAAGCCATCCATATAACTAAACCTGCCTAGCACTGTTGTTATGGGTAACACGACCTCGCCTGCCTCTGACCTGGCTATAGCGAGCCCCTATTCCGACGAACTGGACTTTGTACTTAAACAGGCCGGCCCTGGCATATCGCCGTTCCAAATGTGTCCCCCCCTGCTTCTAGCCGATATCGTCAAAATCAATCGCCTTCGGATGAAGGCTACGAAACGTGAAGCTGGCACATCGGAGGCGCTACAACAGGAGGCATATAGAGTTCTCGACTCTATCGACAAGTTCTCCCCAGAACAATGGGGGGAGTCCATGCCTCTGTCAAAGGGTGATTGGAAGCTTTTGGGGACCGTATACCAAGTCGCCGCCTTGGTATACTGTATTTCTTCCCTTCAGTCTCTCTCTATTCTTCCTATAACCCCGCCACTGAGGGTGCGATGTGCTTCACATGGCAGGGTCCTACGGATACTTCTTGAGACGACGTTATCATCTCCCCAACTGAAGAGATTTATGATGTGGCCACTGATCGTACTTGGTGTAGAGGCTCTACATGGCGTCGCAACTATACGTTCTTTCGTTAAGGAACAGCTGCTCGAGATGAGCCGTTATACCGGATCATATGCGCCACTAATGGCGAAGTCTGTGCTTGAAAAATTCTGGGATTCTGGAGCAACAAATTGGGATTCTTGCTTTAGTCGGCCTTACCTATTTACTGCGCAGCTTTCTGTAGATATGAGCGAGATTCTTTTATCGTGATTAGACTACCTATATAATTCGAGCATAGGGGGGTTCGAGCTAGTAGGCTTGTGCTCATACCCCATACTCCTAACCGAGGTTCCCGTTAGCTGTTGACACATCTATAGTAGTATCGATTTTAAATAATCGATCACAGCACGATCTTCATCAACAATTTGAAAATAGCCTACGTCGACTGGACAGTTATAGAGAAACAGCTTCGTAACTAGGGCAATTTGTTTCTCAAAGGCATATGACGTAGCATTAACAAATGGTCTTGATCTTCACAACCGTGAAGATAAAGACCCGAACGTTTTTCACTGAAAATGGAGTGAAATGGGGTGTTGCCCAGCGTTCCGTCCACGAAATCCGTGCATGGATCAAACAATTGGACTGACCTATATAGTTATATGAAGGCGATACAATTCACTTTTCAGGGCAGTTTTAGTACTGTAGTAAATTTCGTATTTATCCACGGAGTAAGTAGTTATCGGGTTAAATAGGCAGCGGCTAAGAGCTCTTAAATACTACAGAACGCATTCTCCTTTGCTGAAAAGATATCAAACTCCCTTCTCTTCCTTGGGTGCTGTATAGATCCCTCGAACCGCTGAGTCCAGTCCCTGGCGCTACTGCTGTACCATTGGTTTCTTTTACATTCTTGTGGCTATCTTCATCAAACCAATTGTTTCGTTCCGGCCACTTGCTCCACCACCGATCAGGAAGTTTACCAAGCATCTCGACTTGCTCAATCGTAACTTCATCCAACGTGACAGGAAAAGCTTTAAAAGTAGGACTAGATCCAAATATATCCCAGATGGTGCATGCAAGTGTCCATATATCTCCGGGGAAAGAAAGTGGTTCATCTCCTTCCGAAGCCTCCGCAAAGCGCGATTCCGGGGGAGCAAGCAAAAGTGGCATATGAGCGGCAAACTGCTTTGTCACTCGAGGATTGTAGGCTTCTCCAAAATCTGCAATCGATGACATATCGACCTGAACAGAATTCGTCTTCAATTGTGACTTGATGATAGCCTCCAGAGACATAATAATTCAAGCACTCAACTTCTTCCACAAACTTATACCGGACTTTGCTGGGTTTCATGCGTGTTGCAGTACGTCTCTGCGTATGTAGAATAGAGTCGTGCCCAGTCTGTTGATAGGGAAGTGCGAGTGCAGATGGTCTGATAACTACTGTAAGATCGCAGTAACGCGTTGTTGGCTCGAACTGTCATTGTTATCCATAACTAGTAGTGAACTAGTTAACTGGATGATATGCTAAGATGGGCGAAACGGGGTATATTCAAGCCCTGCCTCCTTGCCATCTGGTGCCGTCAAGCGTTGTGTCACCTGAAGACCTCGAGTTGACTACCTAGTTATTCTAGGTAACTAACTAACTAGCTCTAGGGGAGGCAGATCCACGGAGATAAGAGCAGTTATTTAGTTGCGCATCGAGATAACTAGCTACGGGACGGAGCGACAGACGCCCCGACACGGAGATAGTTACTGTACTTGGGTGGCTAACTACAAAATTGAACGCAGTCGGCTATGCGTTAAGACATCTGACTTTCTATGGAGAGCGTCCTACTTATAGAGCCCCCTTGCCGTCGACGTGGACATCGTCCTTCTGTCTTTCTAATCAGATAACTAACTAGTTAACCAGATAACTAGCCAATTAGGCGGCACTATGGCTGAAGACAGAAAAGACGTCAAGATCACCCTCTACTGGTATGTGGCTAACTACCTGCTTCAGACCGATGATACCTAGATATGACCCTCGCTAACTCTGTACCTAGGCTCGAGCAGTCCCGGGCACAGCGCATCCTGTGGCTGCTGGAGGAGCTTAAGCTGCCGTACGAGCTGCAGCGATTCAAGCGCGATAAGGGCCTGCTGGCCGACCCGGCGCTGCAGAAGATCCATCCGCTGGGCAGGTCGCCTATGATCGCCGTCGAAGTGCCCGGCCGCGAGAAGCTGGTGCTGGCCGAGTCCGGGCTGATAGTCGAGTACCTGACCGAGCACTTTGGACCGTCCCTGATCCCCCGGCGGTACTGCGAGGGCTGCGAGGGCGCCGTCGCCGGCGAGACCGATGCCTGGCTGCGCAACAGATACTTCATCCACTACTCCGAGGGCAGCCTGATGCCCATCTTCCTCGTCCAGCTCATCATAGACCGTGAGTTTCACTCTCAAATATTGCTTCCCCATATGACACACCCGTTGCTAAATCACAGTGCAAAAGGCATCCGCAACGCTCCGGTCCCCTTCTTCATCAAGCCCTTCACCAGGGGCATCGCTGGCAAGGTCGACGACGCATACCTCCGCCACAACATCAAGCTGCATCTCGGCTTCCTCGAGGACCAGGTCAAGTCCGCGCCGCAGGGAGGGCCCTATCTCTGCGGCAACGAGCTCGCCGGTGCAGACATCATGATGAGCTACCTGGTCGAGGTCGGTGTCGCCAGCAAGGACATCACCGCAGACTCGCATCCGGCGCTGGTTGCCTATCTCGACCAGCTCCGGCAGCGCGACGCCTACCACAAGGCCCACGACCTCATCGTCGAGCTGGAGGGCAGCTGTGACGTTGTTCCTCGATGATCATCTGTAACTAACTACTGTATAATAGAAATAGCCATGTTGCTAGATAACCATGTAACTAATAGTAATTAATAGCAGCCAGCCGATAAGTAATGAGACCACCTCTTTAGTTACCTTTCAGTATGACTTCTTATTTAACTGGTTCACTAACTAGTTAAATAACTATTTTCGTCCTCCCGTTAATTTCAGCCTCAGCTTGAGCCTCAACATCACCAAGTTCAACGTCAATTCCAACGCCAACGTCAACCAACTTCATCTTCATCCAATTTCACTACAACCGCATCTACAACTACGGTGTATAGATGATGAGCTAGGCCGCCCCAATGTCGACCGGCGTGCCGCTGTCTGAGCCGCCCAAGGGAGACGCCACGATCCTGCCGCACGAAAAGGTGTTTCCCATCCAGATCGGGTCGCAGCTCTTTCGTCTCTCTGGCGCCTCCATCGCCTCGGATGGTATCTTCTTCTTCTTCTTCTTCTTCTTCTTCTTCTTCTCTTTGTCCTACGCTTCTCCTGCTAACATGATAGAGCACCGTCGTACTTTTCGCGCTTCTTCGAGGAGCAGCTGCAAAACAGCCAGGATGGCAATGTGAGGACGCTCTACATCGACCGCGACCCAGAGACCTTCCATGAGATCGTCCGCCATCTCCAAGGTAGCTCTCTCTAAATACATACATCGGTCATAGCTTGACGGCTAATAGGTTTTTTGTGTCTGTAGGATACTATGTGCGCCCAAAGGACGGGGCTCACTTTGTCAAGCTCTTCGCCGACGCGCAGTTCTACAGCCGTAGGTTCTATCCCCCAATTACCCTTTACCCTGGAAGGTACATACAACAACCCAGCTACAGTGCTAACCAGGCCATGTAACAGTGCCCCGTCTGATAGCCCAGCTGTTCGAGTGCGAGATCTTCATCCAGATCGGTGACCGTCACTTCCAGATCCCCCGAGACATCTTCTCCAGCCCGGGAGACTCGCCCAACTTCTTCTCCCTTGGCTTTGCTGTCTTCTTCGCCTCGCCTGCCGCCGTCTTCCCGGGACTCGAGCGCGAAGGTCTCCTGCGCCCGCCCTCCATCACCCCGCCCATCGTCAGCAGCCGGTCTGGAGACGTCTTTGCTGAGCTGCTGCACTTGTTGCGTGGCTACCCAGTACACATTCGGGACGAGGAGCACCGGGCCTGTCTGCTGCGGGACTGTCGGTACTACCATCTGCGAGGCCTCGAGCAAAAGTTGATCCCGCATGACATCAGCTACAACCTGGAGAGACGCCGGTCTGAGATCACCGTCCGCCTCGAGGATGTCCGCCCGTCTGGAATCACCTTCGTCCACGACGGAGATAGAAGCAGCAACACCACCGCCGCCGCCAACAATAATAATACCACAGGGGGATGGGTGCACTATGCCCGCCCGTTTGTAGACGAAGACCATTGCGAGCTGATCATCGAGATTGGCGGCGGCAACACCCTCGTCGACCTGGCCACCATGCGAGCTGAACTGCACGGCCTAGCCAAGGCCCGCGTCACCAGTCTCTGCCAGGTCGTCGCCAACAAGATGAACCTGCCGACCAACGCTCCCCTGGGCTTGATGATGATGTCTGGAAATAACAGCAGCGGCAACCCTACGAACAACAATAACACTGCTTTGACTACGGACAAGATCAAAATACACATCGACTCAAGTACAGACATCACCCTTGACGGTGAGCCTTTCAGCCCTAATCATAGCCATGATGCCAACGCCAACGCCAACATCCCCAATAACAATAACAACTCCAACTCCAATAATCACAACAGCAATAGCTTCCAACCCGCTGAAGCACCGGCTGGCTACACCCCTATAGAAGGCAACATCTCCCCACTGACGCCCTCCGCCCTGTACTCTCGCCTCCAAACGCCCTCTGTCGCCGCCGTCCAGCCGAACCAGCAGCTCCCGCGCAAGCGTCGCAGGGTCGACGGCAGCGAGAGGAGCCGCCAGTGGGTGGTCGACCGTGGCCAGTGGCGACTGCGAGTCCATCCCACCACCACGAATACCAGCACCAATGCCGGGCCCGGCACTAGTATCGGCACGGGCCAGATGGAGGCCGTCTTCGTCGCTGTCAAGCTCGAGGCGCACTCCAGCCAGCGTGCCCGCAACGTCCGCCGGCCCTTCGTTTCCTGACCGTCTTTTCCCACCTCACTCTTCTTTTTTTACCCTCCCGCTCTTTCTTGCTTGTTGATATCAAAATCTAACGATGAAAAATACTTATGATGTAATCTGATGAA